CTAGAATTAGAATCTCTCCTGTTGACTGTTCGTAGCGTTGCCACTACGCAATCTCAACTTAAAAAATTGTAGGCATAGATGTAAAATTGACTTTTGTTATCGATCGCAGTTAACTAAAAGCGCTAAGGTCTATTAAGGTTACATCCTGGTAATTATTCCTTTGATTTTTCTTTTTTGGTAGATTTGCGGTAACCAGAATGGGGAGCAGGTCTTGTTGAATTTCCCAAAAACTCTCGACCCATATCTCTTTTCAAAGTTAATGACAGCTCAAGAAGTTCGAGAACGGATTTCTTTACAACCTAAAGCTCCCTGCCTTAATCTAAAGTAATCCTCAAACTACTATGCCTTTACTTCTCCATCGTGAAGTCTTAAAGTCACTTTTTTTGAGATGACACAGCTCATCTACCCTTTTATTCAAAATTCTAATTACCTTTCCCATTGTAAATTTATAACAGCCCAAATGAAATGTTCGATAAGTTAAAGTAAATAAAAGCACCCTCCTTTTAAGCGCAGCTTCAAAGAGTCTTTATAAGACAAAACATTTGGCTTAGCAACATAAATGAAAGCACGACAAATGGCTTAAACTTGAAAAGAGTGAAGGACGATCGAGGGATGTAATCACTGGACGGAGGGTAGCCTTAAAAGGGATAGATCGGAACACGTAAAAGAGGCGCGAGCGAACAAATACACGCACTCACAAACACAAAATTCACCTCAAGTAAATAGCTATCCGCTATCTGTTAGTATCATAGTTCACTTTAATTTTTAATTTAGACTTTTTTTTTCAAACACTTTCAACTCGTCTTAATTTTTTACGGCTGGACTCGCCGCTTACATATGGGCTAAAACTGTACACTTCAATCTTTCTTAAATAGTACCTACAATTAAGAAGAATATGGGCCTAAATATTTACATTTCTTTCGTATATTCTGTAATCAAATAGTATTGAGACGTCACTATGTATCGTACCACCCATTCGCATCGAATGACTATGTGGTGTAAGCATCACGAAGTGGCGACCCAGCCGCTCTCTTTGAGGAAATTCATGATGTGTTTTCTGTGTGTTTTGTCGAGATTCGGTGGATATCGAGTTTTAACCTGAACACCTTGTCTTCTCAGGAGATTATCCTGTAGACGGAAGCAACTCATCAGGCTTCTTATATGTTAAAAACGCAAGATTATCGACAATGAATCATACATCATCTTTTGGCTGTAAGACATTACGTAATAAGGTGTAAATCAAAGCGGAAGTATATAAAAACCTCCCTATCAACGGGGAAGCTCTTTCTCTACTGTTTCCAGGTCGGCTCGCTTTAAGAATCGATATCCTTTGTTATCTAGGGAGGGGCATGGGCTCATTTACCAATCAGCAGCTGAATCTGATTTGGTGTAAGAAGCTAGGTATCTAATGCTGCTGAGTCGGTAGGGGGGTAGGGGGGTGTTACAATATAATTTGGTTTTTACAACTGAGTTGATAATGTAAATTAGCCATCGCAAAGAGTTTCTAAGCTGAAGTTCTAGCGTTAGCCCTTCGTCGGAGCGGTCACTACATCATATTAATAGTCACATTCTTCGTTGAAAATCAAAATTAAGAACATTCTATTCTCTCTAATGTCGGAACTCACCTTTAATACAATTGTTTTGATTGTGAGATAAAATCCAGGTTTCATGTGCATAGACGCGCAGAGCTGCCATGACAGAGAAAAAAACATTTTTCAGACGGCTATTGAAGAATAGGCTTATATCAATACTTTCCAAAAGAGCAGTTTTCAAATGAGCGTCCAAGGACGGTGGCGCAGGATTACAACACTTCGCTCAGTAATTGGTCTAGAAAGCTTGCGTCATCCTTTCGACCAATCAGATGCAAAATCAAAACTAATCGCGGCTTATTCACTGATGTTTTCCCGCGCTTGCGGCAATTTTTATTTTCAGTTCTCATTGGCTCCTTGCGATATTTTCCTTTGTTTTGATTGGCTGTTACGATTATTTTGGTTTTGGTTTTACAACATTCATTCGAGAAGCGCTCTAATATGGACTCTAATTTGTCCAACGTAGGAGGCGCCTCCAAAGTCCAGGGAAAACATCAACGTTTACATTCCGACGTGTTTGCTAACAAGTACATCACACTACAGTGTTTTGCTTTGTCAAATGTTTTGATGAAACGTGTAGTTAAACCCCAGCCATTCTCCTTACCTGTCTCTCTATTAATGACAGTAAATTGTAGGTGGGACAGTTTTTCATTTGATCTTCAAAACTTGGCGACGATAACGACCGATCTGCAAAGGAAAAACAAACAATTGAATTGCGTATTTTGAAATTTTAGTCTACGGACTCGAGTGATGTATACTGGCGTCCAGAATTGAGGATAGCACTTTTTATCTCATTGAAATCGTATATCTTTGGTACCTTTTTCATCCTTATCTTCTGACGCGGCCCTACAATGGAAAAATAAAATGAACAAATAAAACACTGGGATATATTAAAGAATCTCCAAAGACGGGAAACTCAAGCCAACAATCCATAATATTGGATTCACTTACTCGTTCTTTTTTCCCATCGACACATTCGTCCTTCTTGGTTGGGTTCCACCCTAGAGGTACCAGAAAAATACCATTTCATCACTTGCTTTATTTAGTGTGCCATTGAATATCTTAGGGTGGATCTGACTGTTAACAACAGCCACTTCAAAACACAATTTAACCACGGCCAGAACACGTATAAGAACTCACCACCATTTTCCTTTTGTTTTCTTTTCGTCTTTCTCGTCGCAATCTTTGTTCATCATATTCTTGACACTCTGAAAAGGCGTCAAACAGGTTTAGCCATTTTAGCTTTCTCGGAAGACGCCACAAATCTCTCGCAATAAGTTTCACTTAAACAATACTTTTTTTACGAATCGACTCGCTTCTCTGGAGGCTTTTCAAGGGGCTTCTTGTTCAATTAACGTTTCCCGTTAAAATCCACTATATTGCATTAACGAAAAACCATTTTAATGGTTAAAATAATCTCCTTTGAGCCCCGTATTGCCGTTACTATATATGTCCTGCTCGTTTTAGGTAATAATGTAATAAAAGATTACCTGCTAGTTTTGTGATTCCATTCTTTCTGTACCGCGTGAGATCTTTGATTCTTGCTCTCAATTCCCTTTCTCCTGAAAGTGAATTTAAAAAAAGTGTGACAATCTAAAAGCTCACAAACCAAATGGCAAACTTTTAAACCCATAAAAAATTGTTTAAAGCTTGAGTCTCGTTGTTCCAGTTTCTGACTTAATTTCCATCGTTACTGATTGAGTACAGACAATGAAAAATTGAGATCCATTTATTAAATAGATCTGTGTTGCAACTTTCATAACTTTTCGGATAGAAAAAAAGTTTCTTCTTACGTAAATGACCATTCAGAAATTCCTCCCAATCGCTGTGGCTTTTGAATCTCGCAAAAACTCTGGTGGCGTCCCTGAACTCTCTACAAATAAAAGATGACAGTGATTGTAAAAGACTAACAAACGCATCTCTCGGTTCTGGAAGTAAGAATAATCATGATCTCGTCATCTTTTTGTTCTCAGTTGACGGTCACGGATTACTAACCTGTCCTCTTTGCTGTACTTTCTTCGAAGAGCTGGAACAAAAACAAATTCTCTAAATGAAATATGTTCATTGAGTTCCAAGAGTACGCGACTTTAAATTGACGACCTCTGAAAATATTCCCTTCCCTTTTTCCAAAATCTGCTCAAATATGACTGATGCTAATAGGAAAGATCAAAATAAACTTAACGTTTCATCAAATGTCATGGAAGTGATAAATAAGTATAGCTTTTTATAACTGTACCTGGCAAACCACGAGGGTGCATGAACAGAATCGTTTTGGCTTATCATGATTGGCAAAGTGGCCGCAAGGCCACTGTAAATATAAGTAGAGCTGTAAAGACACATGTCATACCAACATTTACAACATGCTGTGTGATAAATAGGAGGTTAGTAGCTGGAATTCAGTACCTATTATTCTATGTTTGCTGGCAATAAGTCCATGTTGTCTTGCAATACTGAAAAGAAATGAAATGAATCGTCACCATCAATGCTATTGTACGTTAAGGGCTTTCGAACTTAATGTCACACCAGCAATGAGGGATGAGTGCGCTATGTCGCTTTTTGTTTTATGTACAAATCAAGAACTCCTTCGAAAAAGAGAGGCGTGGTCATTTGCACCCATAACCAACCCTCCTCCTTAAAAACAAGCTAACATCTTCTTGCCACAGACATCTTGACCAGGATAAAGTAAGAAGATAAGAGATGAGCTGCTCTCAAACAAGAACAAGCAACGTATGATGCACGATCCTCGCAGTAGAGAGCGCTATTTAAGCAATAGCGAAAATCAGACCTGAAGAAAATCAGGCCTGTACGGGATTCGAACCACTGACCTCTGCGATACTAGTGCAGCGCTCTACCAATTGAGCTAACAAGCCAACTGGGAGCAGGCCGTTAAGTTGATTCGTAATAAACCCGTGATGATAAATCAGATACAATGAATATATGAAGTTCATATATTTTGAACTGCGGTTGTAGATACGTATGATGCACGATCCTCGCAGTAGAGAGCGCTATTTATGCAATAGCGAAAATCAGACCTGAAAAAAATCAGGCCTGTACGGGATTCGAACCACTGACCTCTGCGATACTAGTGCAGCGCTCTACCAATTGAGCTAACAAGCCAACTGGGAGCAGGCCGTTAAGTTGATTCGTAATAAACCCGTGATGATAAATCAGATACAATGAATATATGAAGTTCATATATTTTGAACTGCGGTTGTAGATACGTATGATGCACGATCCTCGCAGTAGAGAGCGCTATTTATGCAATAGCGAAAATCAGACCTGAAAAAAATCAGGCCTGTACGGGATTCGAACCACTGACCTCTGCGATACTAGTGCAGCGCTCTACCAATTGAGCTAACAAGCCAACTGGGAGCAGGCCGTTAAGTTGATTCGTAATAAACCCGTGATGATAAATCAGATACAATGAATATATGAAGTTCATATATTTTGAACTGCGGTTGTAGATACGTATGATGCACGATCCTCGCAGTAGAGAGCGCTATTTATGCAATAGCGAAAATCAGACCTGAAAAAAATCAGGCCTGTACGGGATTCGAACCACTGACCTCTGCGATACTAGTGCAGCGCTCTACCAATTGAGCTAACAAGCCAACTGGGAGCAGGCCGTTAAGTTGATTCGTAATAAACCCGTGATGATAAATCAGATACAATGAATATATGAAGTTCATATATTTTGAACTGCGGTTGTAGATACGTATGATGCACGATCCTCGCAGTAGAGAGCGCTATTTATGCAATAGCGAAAATCAGACCTGAAAAAAATCAGGCCTGTACGGGATTCGAACCACTGACCTCTGCGATACTAGTGCAGCGCTCTACCAATTGAGCTAACAAGCCAACTGGGAGCAGGCCGTTAAGTTGATTCGTAATAAACCCGTGATGATAAATCAGATACAATGAATATATGAAGTTCATATATTTTTTTTTTATATATGAACTTCATATATCTATTGTATCTGATTTATACATATCCATATATCCATATATCAATATGGATATATGGATATATGGATATGTATAAATCAGATACAATAGATATATGAAGTTCATATATAAAAAAAAAATATATGAACTTCATATATTCATTGTATCTGATTTATCATCACGGGTTTATTACGAATCAACTTAACGGCCTGCTCCCAGTTGGCTTGTTAGCTCAATTGGTAGAGCGCTGCACTAGTATCGCAGAGGTCAGTGGTTCGAATCCCGTACAGGCCTGATTTTTTTCAGGTCTGATTTTCGCTATTGCATAAATAGCGCTCTCTACTGCGAGGATCGTGCATCATACGTATCTACAACCGCAGTTCAAAATATATGAACTTCATATATTCATTGTATCTGAAGAACAAGCAAACAAATAGTAAACACTAAAACAGGCCAACAAATAGTGTAAATGCATAATGAAGGTTTAAGAGACTTTGAACTAGGCCGTTTTCGATATATAAAATTCTGACAAGGCTTCTAGTCAAGAGGGGGGGGGATAAACAAAAGAGATTATTTATTCATCCCTCAACCTCGATGCGATTGCTTTTGTTTTATTCCCCTAAGCCTGCAAGCCAAGTTTGAATTTAAATATATCGAAAATGGCCTATTACAATCTTTCAAAACGTACCCTACTTTGATAAACAGCTTTAAGGTTACTTCCCACCTTTGCGAGTGTGTCCTTCGAGAAAAAATTCGCACGCGCGCTAGTTTCAAGAAAACCCTAACAAACTATACATAAAAAGAAAGTTTAATAAGTTTGTAAACAACTAGCGCCAAACCAGATTATCTCGCCTCTTGAAACCGCGAACCAATGAGAAGATGGGACTTCCTGGCGTGAATGACAAGGGATCAAGATTTTCCAGAGAAAAGTATCGCATAGCACTCACGTTTTTTTATCTCGCTCTATTGAACGTTGAGTAATGGGCAAAGTTGGCAAAGGAAAAACCCACGACAAAACTGACGGCAAAAAGGGTAAAGCTGAAAATACTGCTGAAAAGTAAAACAGCGAATCGTTAGGTAAGATGTCTAACTTCAATCTGGTCCAATAAAAAAAAAAACGATTTTGTCGCCCTCTGAAGGTGGGAAGTAACCTTAAAAGCTGTAAGGGAAGTGTGCGTCAAAATGTTTCACAGAAAAAGTTCGTTGTACTCACTTCTTTCTGCGTTGTCTTTCCTTGAGTCTTCTTAGATACATATCTATTATACCTAGCTTTAAATCTACAAAACAAAACAGAGCCAAGATTACTGGAACTATCTGTGTACATAGTGCTGTAAGGAGATAATTACCGGATTCTTATTCACTAATTTCAACAGGGATGGCTGTGAAACCCTTTCAGATGTCTAGCAAACACTTTTAATTACCAAGTTTGAATTTCTTCACCCTTACCTACTTCCACATCCTCATCATCATAACTGAACTGTAAACCACTAACAAGAGTTTCAGCCTCGTTATCATACTCCTGCAAAAAAAAAAAAAAAACATTCAGAGTTACTCCCCAATTTCTCACATATTGCGTCACGATGGATAGTGCTATCCAATAATGGCACATAGACCAGATCCTTTGGGCAATATTGGTCTGTATTGACTTAATGCTAGAGTGCTCAGTAAACTTCTGAGGTCAAAGAATTCTCTTGCAACAAGAATACAGAATTCTCTTGTTCAATTTTGATGGTGTAACCCTTTTCTTTTTGTTTAGACATTAAGAGTATTTTTATGTTCATTTAATCTATCCATCTGCCACTGCCCGGTCAACGAAATGTTGTACACAAGAACAATAACACCTAATTTAAACACCCAGAGTGAGTGACTCCATTAAGGCTAAGCTCTTTGCTTGACTCTCAATGACTCTTAATTTATTCATTTTCTCATCTAATGTATATATATCTTAGTTTTGTTATTTCATTCTCACTTGATAATGACGTTCTGAAACTGTCAAAACGTCATGTAATGTTTTCCAATATTTTATTGCAGATTTTTATTGTAAAACATCTGCCATTTCGTTTCTTATTTGAAACAACTAAGCACTGGACTGATTTAAACACTGATAAGATAGCACTGTACCACCTTTTCGAAGTCATCTCTGAGTGGCATATATCCTAGCTCCTGCTGTTCAGTTACATTCATCTCCACAGGTTCAGGGGGGTGCAAAAGTGTCGGTGACAGTACCTCTGTGAGTTGGAGAGAGATACAGGCCTCTTAGATACATTACTTAATACTTTATTCCAAGGAGCTCATTGAAATATCTAGACACTTTTAAAACGACAATCATGACTAAATGATAAACAGTCCAGATTCTACATGAAACTTCAGCCAGTTCAAAGGTCATGGGCATTGTATTCTAATAACTTTATATTTTGGTACATGGGGGTATTATTGATTATTACACGACTCGGGCAGTCAGAGGGCCAATAACTAAAATCAACCAATCAAAATGCTCTATTGCCGGTCCAATATTCTCTGAGTATTGGACCGGGCACTGTCCTGAATGGTCCGAATGATACCGCACTTGTGTCCCTTTGAACTTCAGTCGTGTAATAAATCTCTTATTAACCAAGCTTGCTCGGGACCGTACTGGAAGAATATCGGCCCTCGGTCTTTTTTGTACCGACCTCGCTGCACTCGGTCCGTACTGTCAAGACCTCGGGCCGATATTCTCCCAGTACGGCCCTCGCGCTTGGTTAATAAGATATATGTATTATTTTTTTGTTGTTGTTTGCCATACCTTGATCAGCAGATGTATGATCAACTATTTTGTTCTTAAAAGGTTCAACAGTTGCTAAAACACAAAAAACAGAAAATGATAAAATCATTTTAGAAGATCAGAGAAACTGGGTTGAAACCTATTCTGACTTTAGACACAGCACTTAGTAGCTTTGATGTGATTCAGTTGTTCTTTCTGTATCCAGCAGAAATATCCACTAATGAGAAGTAACCTATTAACCTAGAATACCTAGGTTTTCAAGGAAAAAGAGTTTCCGAAAGAGATATTTAATTCATCAGTCATGATGTAATACTAAATAAACATTGAGAAAACATTCTGTTGTAATATTGCCGTTCTGTTGTTAAGGCTGGGCTCCCTGTGCCCTGCCCCCATTTTGCATGACCAGCGGTTTCACTTTATGGCTATTTGTTATTGTGACCGCCATTTTGTATTTAGTCTTTAGTTAGGTTCTAAGTGAAGTAAGGCCTATTAAAGGTTCGAACTCAACACATTGTGCTGGTAACTCAAGTAACATTGAACCCCTTCTAAATAATGATCCAGTTTGCAAAATATTCTATTGGGGGAAACAAATGACAAACGACAAACTCAGAGAATACAAACTTACTGTATAGCCCTGAGCAACAGAAAACTCACTGTAAGATAAGCTTATGAAACAATTTCCACAAATTGTTACCTTTTCCAACAACTCCTGAGATGTAATTGTCAGCATAATGTTCACTGGTCTCTGTTGATAAAAATTAAATTTCATTGAGAAAAGGCAGTGGAAAAAGAGCAGCAGAATAATTACAAATAACATGAAGTTCTTTACCTGATTAATAACAGCTTTTACTCCCAAATTGCCTTTGCCTCAAAAGCTAAACTAATCATCTAAAATATGTCTTGAAGAAATATTTGATTCTTAACATTTACTGGAAAATTTTTATCAGTAAGTTGCCTTTGGTTTCTTTACCAATCAGTATTTTGAGATTGGTTTTATGTAATTCCCTGATGGCAAAAAAAGACTTCAAATTTTGTCGTCAATAATAAAGGTTTGAACAGATTGTAAGTAGTTAATATGTCAATTATCAGATGATTAATTAATTAATCAACAGATTGAAGATGTGGCTGACCTTTGCCTGTTTTGGTACCAATGTGATCAGCAACATCATCCCTGAAAAAAAAAAACAAAAACAAGTTGAGAAAGAGGCAGTGTGGCCGAGTGGTTAGAGTGTCGGACTCGTAATCCGCCGCTCCCGGGTTCGAGTCCCTCCCTGACCACTAGATTTGTTTCATGGTAGCCCCATGTTCAGATCCTTGGCCACACTTGTAAATAGCCAACTGGTTTGCCTCCGGCCGGTTGGGGTTCTTAATGATGTTCTTTTCAATTTAGACCATTTGTTTCATTTGTTTGCAAGGACCACAATGGAAACTACTGGTTCACCAGTAATTGTGTAATCCTATAAAAAGACTTTTTTTTTTTTTTTTAATAATAGGGGTAAAAGGAAAAAGCTGAAATGTATCACATCCCAATGATTATGTATTTGCCACTATCTCCTCAAAAACTGTTGGTGGTGCCAAATGTAAAACACACATTGTAAAACTATAATTATAACATAACCAAAGTAAAGCGCGCGCTCTGATTGGTCAATTTAGCGTCCCCCATTTGCCCATTGCTGCTGACGTGAGCAAATGCAACGACTATTTTTCCGCGCGCGCCTGTTTTTCCTGGTCACATAAGATTTGTTAAATAAAAGGGAACTCTTTAGCTACAATGTATCAATGTTGTTATAAAACAAATGGTAAACACCACAGCGTACACTATTGAGTTATGGATGCACTTGGGAGGTTTGCTAAGCACTCAAGAAGCTAGAGTCGCTCTTGGCTATCGCCTCGAGCGACTCTTACGCTTCTTTTGTGCTTAGCAACCTCCCGCATGCATCCATAACTCAATAGTGTATGCTGTGGTGTTTACCATTTGTTAATTACCAGTTTCCAAAACCATGCTGTTCTATTGCATCTAAAAGTAACACTTCCTCTTCAGATGTCCAGTCCTCAGTAAATAATGGAAATGTCCCACCATCCTGCACAATACAAGTTCCATATATATAACACCACGATCTTTTCAGTTACCTTTAGTTACTGACGACATATTGATACTCATAAAGATACCAATAAAATGATGATGATGATGATGATGATGACGGTGATATTGATGACAATAATTTGAGTACAGTCAAACCTCGGTTATCCAGACTTCGATTATCCGGATTTCTCGATTATTCTGACTTTTTTCTCTGGTCCCACTTTTGTCATGAATATTTTATAAGTCACGATCAAGATCCATATCCATATTCATTTTAAAACTACAGCATTGAAAAGTGAGTAGAAGCAAGTTTGTTTCCCTTTCAAAAAGCAAAAGCAGTGCTCACACATGTCATAACTAGTGAAGAACATTTGAATGACGTCTGATTGGCTTTGAGTTCCTTGTTTCTAAGTGAGATGGTTCTGTTACCTGTAGGCCATATTTTTTTTTTCAAAATGATTTCTTATTTTAATAATTTTTTGTTCCTCATTAGTATTCATATTCTGGATTATCAAGACCCCCGATTATCTGGACCCTCGATTATCTGGACTATTTTTTCTTGTCCCAACGAGTCCGAACAATCAAAGTTGGACTGTAGAACAAAATGGGACTTTGCAGGATAATAGCATTTCTAGCAAGGAGGGTAATGGTATATAAAAGTACCAGATTACTGTGCAAAAAAAAAATGTATAACTTTCAAACAGAGCATCAGGTCAGGTCAAGATAACTCTATCTCTTGGTTCTCAATAACGTGAGGAGACCTGTCAAGTAAGTAACATAATTTAGCTCTAGAAGACTGGGTACTAGTGGCAAAAGAGGAGAAAAATGTTGACAAAGATCATGAGGTTTAGAGAGAGAATGGGAAATTGTGGAGAGGCCAAATTTCAGAAGTACCAGTGGTATTAAGGGCTATCATAGGAACATTGATAGTAGTAGTGAAACTATCCCTCTTGGAACCATACCCTTCCTTCCCCCCAAGGAAGCTGAGGTGATGCCCTTGGCATCCCAAATGATGGCTATAAAGTAAAAAAATCTCATTCTTTGCCAGCAAATCAACTTAACAGCTCTGCATCCTACTAAAAGTAATAGTCCAAATAAAAAGTACATTTGTTAGGATGGCTGATCCTTTGAACAGTAAAAACTAAACACAAATAACCGTTACAGATACTATGGGAACAAACACTTGCATCACAAAAAGTTGAAAAATTAGAGAAGAGTTTGTAATGGATAGGGGTGGGGGGGAGGGGAGGGGGGGAGGGCAGCTTGCAGCTTGTAACCAGAATACTGCAGAATACTGTAGATGAGCCTGTGAGAGGTTGAGGAAAGGGAGGTGGGGTGGGGAAGTATGTTTCACAAGTTTCAGTAATCAAAACCAAGTTTGGTTTTGATGTTGAGCATGTATATGTAGACCTGCTTAATATATTGACTTAGTACTATACTCCAAACTGCAAAAACAAAATATAAGATTTCAAGGATTTTAGTTTTAATTTCACCAAAAAAAGGGAAAACGAAGACATAACATTGGAATATTTTTGTAAGGCTCGCGATGGCGCATATGATCACGTGACCTACCATAAGTTGATAATCGTGTCCTCTTTTGTGTTTACCCATTTCCGCGCCGCAAGCGAAACACTGAAACGAAATCAGAGATGGAATAATCATAAAAACGGAGCTTAATGACAAAGATAGATCAACGAGACAACAACATCGCTACAATCCTTACTTGAAGACACAAATCGAAATCGGTGCACTCAGCACATTTCACTCGAAGTGACGTACAATCTGCTTGGCAGTAGTTACAATGGTACTCCTCTACGCCTTCAAAGAGAAGAAAAAATATAATTTTGACGAAAAAAAATATAGAAAATGCAGGATTTTGATGAAAGTAAGCAATCAAACTAACGAAATTACCGTTCCCGGCCGCCGCCATTTTGATCACAAAGACAATGCTTTCAAATTATTTCCCATGATGCCCTCTAAGGCTCTTTACAGTTGGTTCGAAGTAAACCGAAAACACTTTCTTTACCTCCTGGGATCAGCCGATGTTTAGAGGAATCTCCTTCTAAATTCCCAAACAATAACAAAGGTACTAAGTTTCAACTGAACGAAGATGTATTTATAATGATTCATCGCTTAGCGAAAGCGAGGCAAAAAGGGGAGGAAGATAGTAAAAAAGAAGAAAACAGAAACGACTCATGTGAGGTTCTTGTGCTATACAAACACAGTTGACTTCCCTAACCGGCTCTCGAAGCAAACAAGTCATTATTAATTCTTACTAAAGCGAAATCTTTTTTCAAGGTAGTAAGTCCTTTCTTGGGCAAGTTTGTTTGGTCAAGGTGGACGGAAATTAGCCTGGCTTTTTTCTTTGCATTTCTATGGACCTCGACTTCGTCTTGGTCCATAAAAATGCCAAAAAAGAGAACTCGGCCAATATCCAATAACGCATATCTATTAAATACAACTGACGTTTGGACCCTTGCGGTAAGGTTTGCGAACGCATTCAGGCACACATTCTAAATCAAACTGGCTAACCTCAAGATCAAAGGATGAATCATTGATGGCAGCACTGGGAAGGGAAGTTGTGTCTAGAGCTGCAATTTAAGCAATTGTGGAAAGAAGGGTTAAAAAATCAGACTTCCAACGGGAAAGAATCCCACCAAAGGCTGATTTTTCTTTTCTTGATTCTTTCTGTAATAAATTTGCTTGAATTGAAGGTCACCTGTGAGAATCATTGCTTTACTTGATTTTCCTACAAGGTCATATATAATTTATTTTATTCAAAATAATTAAATATATTGTTTCTTGATAGCTCAGCTAACAATCACCCAATCTTCAAGATGACAACAATGTTTGATTACCTTAAGGAGGATGGTAGGGAAGTCCTTAGCCTACGTGTGGGAGCACCAAGTGAACATCTGAGAATCAAATGTGGTGAGCTTATCCATAAAGCAACTCTAGCTCTTCATACTCCAGAAAATTATCCTCAGCTGTTTCAGTATGGGCCACATAGTGGTAGCTTAGTAGCCAAGAGTGAACTTGCCAAATTTCTCACGGAGGAGTATGGTGACACTGTCAACTGTGATGACATCTGGTTCACTGCTGGAGCTGCACAAGGCCTTGCCTGTATAGGAAGCCTCCTCTTTCAGCCTAAAACTGTAGCTTTTGTTGAAGAACCAACTTATTTTCTTGCTCTCAAAGCATTACAAGATGACTTTGGAATGAATGTGGTTGGAGTTCCAGTAGATCAAGATGGTTTGATTGTTGATGAGTTGGAGAAATTAATGATAGAACATTTGCAGACATCACAAGTTATAACAGAGAGAAACCCATTCTCTGGTCTGTTGTTTTGCATTCCAACTTTTAACAATCCAACTGGTTCTGTGCTCTCAGCTACAAGATGTAAGCAGTTGATCAAACTGCTACGGAAGTACAATGTGCTTGCTTTCTGTGATGATGTATACAACTTGCTGTCTTATGCTGTAGAGAATCCTCCTTTTAAAGTTCCCCCAAGGCTTTTTTCATTTGATAACAAGGCTGATCCTGATTACAAAGGAAATGTGATCTCAAATGGAACTTTTTCCAAACTGTTAGGGCCAGGGTTGCGTCTAGGCTGGATGGAGGTGCCCGAATGTATAAGGAGGATTTTGAAGACTTCTGGCTATGTTAGGAGTGGGGGTTGCTTCAACCACTACACCTCTTGTGTTGTTACCACAGCAATACAAATGGGTTTGGTAAAGGAGCATTTAGCATATGCGCGAGGGCTTTATAAGTCCCAATTGAATACACTATGCAGTGCTATGGATAAGTATTTTCCATGTCCAGTTATGTACACAAAACCTCAGGGAGGTTATTTTGTTTGGGTTATCCTTCCCACTGAGTTTGATTGTGATAAACTTTATGACATCTGTTTCAATGAGTATTCTGTTGATTTTAACAAGGGCTCAGGGTTTTCTTGTAAAGGACAGTACAAAAATTGTATGAGACTCTCATTTGCCTTTCTTGACAGTCCTACCCTTGAACACTGTGTGAAGCAAATAGCTTTAGCAATTGAAGAAAATTTCCCAAGAAACTAATAATCATGGAGGTAAATACATCTCAAAGAAGGGGAATATGATTTTTGAATTGGTTACTGTGCTATTTGAACCAAGGGTAGCAGTTATTGAGCTGAGGTAGAAGTTATTTTTCAATGATTAATACTGAAGGTTTTGAAATCCTTTTTAAAATGGACAGTGATAAAATTTACACAGGATTTACTGAAAGAAATGAATCCTGAAAGAGGAAAAATCATGATTATTCTCAGGGCTTTTAAATAATTAGACAGTCAGTCTATACTTATGAGTGTAATTGAGCTAACCGCCTCCTGGTTAGCTCAATTGGTAGAGCGGGAGGTTGTGAGTTCAAATCTGGCCAGACCAACACTCAGGGTCTTTAAATAACTGAGAAGAAAGTGCTGCCTTTGTAATAATATCTGCAGTTATACTTTCAATAGTTATACTTTCAAGTCTTCTCGGATAGGGACGATAAATGGAGGTCCCGTCTCACAAGCCCTTGTAGGTGATAAAAAAATTTGTGGGATGTTAAAGAACCCACAAACTGTTCGAAAAGAGAAGGGCACGTAGTGCCCGGTGTTGTGATCTATCTTTGTGTAGTGTCTATCAAATTGATGGGGGGTACTGCGCCTTTGAATATTGTATAGAAAGGACACAATATAAATAAGGAATTCATTCAGTGTATTCTGAAAATTATGTTTCTCTACATTAGAAACACATATATCACAGGATTAAAGGAAGTTTTTCCATTTCTTTATTTATTTTATTGTAGGTTGTCTGGAAGTATTTATGGATGGGGTAGAACATAAACTGTAAAATGTATTAATATATTATGAGGGAGAATAAATTTTTCAGTGTATCTTATTTTTGTAGATTAATTTTGGGGACCAATGAGGTTGTTAATATAAACATGTGTGAAAGAGTGAGTGCAATTTGTAGTTTACAATAAGTTCTTTAACAAGGAAATTGGGATTAGGTATTATTAACATGCTTTTATCAGTAATATTGATTTGAACTGATGTCTAAAGTTTTTTGTCAGTTAAAATTGCAATAGATAGTAACCAGATGACACAATGAAATATTGGCTTGTTCAAATTTAGCATACCTTGCATTCAGCTCATAAATAGAGAGAAGAGTTAATTAAAATTTCCCAACTCAAACTTGATTCTTGAACGTAACTTTATGTCAATCAAATTAGGTATGTCACCTCATCACCTTCATTGCCATCTGCCAGGGAGCAGAAATAAAGATGAAAAAACTCCTGTGTCTACCACTAGTGTCTACAGTCAGACATGAATGTGTGAAATTGAACAGTAGGGTAAAAAAATTGGACAGTGGTGTCTAAAATCCGACAGTAGTATTATAAATCTGACATTTGTCTAAAATAAGACATAACTAGTGTCAACAATCAGACACTCAGTAGTGACCACAATTAGGCACTATTGTCTAAAATTGGATACTTGTGTTTAAAGTTGGACAACCATGCTAAACCCAATAAAATGGAAATTGCAACTTCACCAAAAGAAGGGATGATGTAATTCTTAATTACCGAGTTCTGGGAAACTTTTCAGCCACACTTTAATGAATCGGAGTCCGAAACTACAGGGCAAGAACGCCTCGCGGACCTATCTGAAATCTTCTATCCCGTAATGCTTTAGTCTCTGCTTAGAGCTCCGAATAGATCAAAGTTGTCGAGAGGTGAGGATAGACTTATTCATATTCTGTCAGTAGGCGTCGCTAAGTTGGCTGTTGAATCAAACAGATTATGTAAAAGATTATAGCAACAAATGTCGACAAATAGAGGGAAATGCTGTGCGTGCACTTAATTATAATGAGCTTTATTTTTGCCCACCATCGCGATAGAATGTATCATGCAGTTAATAAAATTAGTAGAATTAGAGGATATAGTAATTCTGTAAAGTTTTACATAAATGTCTCGTAAGCTGATAAAATAGCGTGACACTGAAGGTCTTATTTTTACCAAAAATGTATGCCATGGGGCAAGCGCCATGTTTGTCGCTGCTTCCGGCTTTCACCTTCCATAACCCTCGTGCCCCACTATAGCCGTATCATGTTTCCACATAGTTAGTAGAGGGGACCTAGAGAGTCTCCTCTACTAACTATGGTTTCCAAAAGGAATCAATCTAATACCCCATTCACACCAAAGCCTAAACATGCTTTAAAGCTGTTTTGTTAAACATGGTTTAACACAACAGCTCCATAGAAGCTGCTCAAATCAATATTTGGTTAACTTCAAATGTGGCACATTGAAAATACAATTTAGGAATTGCTTGAATCTCGTGGAAAATTTAGTTTTTCAGTTCTCTGCTTCTGATTTTTATTTAGTTAAACCTTTAACTAAACAAGTTTTCTGGTGTGAATGGGGTATTAGACTAAGGAATCCCTATCGACTACCCAAGAAACTAGTTACCAATTAGTATTTAATGGAAAATTAATATGCGATACATTTTTGCTGATCCACAGATTTTTTTTCGAACATGTTTTCAACGCAAGCTGATTACCTAAAAGGTGGACTTAAACATATTTACAGTCTGAAAACTGGAGCTCCCAGTTCTTATTTACGTCAGAAGTGTGCTGATCTTGTCCAGAAAGCAACACTCTCACTTCATAAGTTAGATGATTGTCCAAATGCATTCATGTATGGGGCAGAGGCAGGCTCCATAGTAATCAGGAAGGAGTTGGCCAAGTTCCTAACTGAGGAGTAGGATGATGCAGTTGATCCCGAAGATCTTTGGGTGAATGCTGGTGCCTCACAAGGACTTGCATTCATTGGAAGCTTTCTCTTTCAACCTGGTGATGTTGTTTTTGTGGAGGAGCCATCATATTTTCTTGCTCTCAAGGTCTTGCAAAATGATCTGAGAATGAAAGTCATTGGTGTTCCATCAGATAAAGATGGAATAATCGTCGATGAACTTGAAAGACAGTTGATGAAACATGTCAGTGAACTGCCGCCACCAACGGATATGAAGCCTTACTCTGCCATGCTCTACTGTGTGCCAACATTTAACAATCCAACTGGCTCTTGTCTTCCACCAGAGCAATGCAAGAAAATGATCAACCTGATGCGTAAATACAATGTGCTAGCCTTTTGTGATGATGTGTACAATTTGCTGTCTTACACTGGTGACAAACCACCTCCGCAAAGACTTTATGCATTTGATGACAAATCAAATGCAGATTATAAAGGGAATGTCATCTCTAATGGTTCCTTTTCAAAGTTCCTTGCTCCAGGGCTGCGTCTTGGGTGGATGGAGGTTCCTGAACGAGTTCGATGCTTGTTGCAAAAAAGTGCTTATGCCATTGGTGGTGGATGCTTTAACCACTACCTATCATGCATTATTGCTGTGGCATTGCAAGAAGGGCTAGTTAAGGATCACTTATCAATGGTGCGGAAGGTCCTTGAAGTGCAGCTCAATGCATTATGCAATGCCCTCAACAAGTATATACCTGAGGGTCAAATATCATACCAAAGACCTAAAGGAGGTTACTTTGTATGGGTTACATTTCCACCAGAAGTAGATTGTGACAAGCTGTTTAAAATCTGTCTGGAAAAGTATCTTGTTGAGTTTAACTATGGCTCCCATTTTGCTGCTAGTTCTGGAAAATTTAAGAATTGCATGCGACTGTGTTTTGCATTTAATGAATGTGATATCATTGAACACTGTGTGAAACAAATAGCACTGAGCTTAAAAGAGTTAGTCGGTTGATGCAAGAGATATTAGGTCACAATTGGGGTACATTGATATGATTAATAATTAAAAGTGGTGGCTTGAGGGAAACGATTGCTTGAGCCATTAATATCAAACCATTTTGTTGCAAAATGGCATTTCTGAATCCACTAGTCATTACTATGGTCTTGTCAGTTGTAACTGCACAGTGCAGCAAACATATGAAGCTCCATATTGTAATTAGTCAGGAATGTTTACATTTGTATGATATTTTCAATCATATTGCACATAATTTTTTTTATAAAATATTCTTATAGTTGACAATAAATGTTGTAGTTTTTCAATGATATGTGTACCATTCATTCTATCTTGTAACCATTCTATACAATTTCACAAAATAGCAAGTACATATTTTTCTGAATTTCCATCAACCATTCCCTAAGAGTGTTTTAACCTTCTGAAGAGAAACTATCCTCTGGTCATTTAAAGGAGTTTAAGGGTTAGGGAAAGTTCAGGAACATAATTTCAACTGAAGTCATGACAACTTGTAGTTTATTTCGTTGTCCCAAACAACACAAATATCTTATGCTTTAAAACCCAACTAACAAATATTTAACAAAACTGGCAGTACTTTCTTCAATGCCCGCTACGTTAGAAATATTTTTTTTGGAGGTAAAATTTTGAAAAAACTACAATGTTTGTTAAAAGCTTATTACTGAGCTAATCGGCTTCAACGGTTGACTCAGTTGGCAAACGTAGTATCTGTACTGCACGTACAGTTTACAGCTCTTGATCGTACCACTCTAAAGTAACGTTTTGCAGATCAGAGGATTTAAAGCCACTTTACAGAATATCGGGAAAAGACTACGATATTTCTCACAACAATACTATAAATACTAAAGGAATTTACTCAAATAAAAGTAATCCACGTTGAGTTAACGATCTGTTTACATTACTTATGCCTCTAGCAACCATCATTTGCGATTCATCATCGATCATCTGCCCTTGTCCGTATCGGAAAAATCTTTGTCTGATTCAAGATCTTCTTCGTAAGGTTCCCCCATTCCAGAATGATCCATTAGATCCGTGAGTCCTTTCTCTATTTCGTCCAGTTTCTTCCCGGTCTCGGTCATTCGTTTCACGATTGAGTCTTCGACATTTTGAAACTTTTCTTGCATGTTCTGCAAGGTCGCTTGGACGAAATGCATCAATTCAGGAACACTTGTGGGGTTCTCCATGATGTCCTGTGCGAAATAAAGGGAAAAGCGAATGAATTTAAAGCCAGATTTTAGAAAATGATACTTTGTAGAAACATACCAATCTGTTCGTGTCTGTAAAACCTATCAGGACGCCAAACTATCTGCTTAAGAACTCTACAAGATAATCACTTTCTCCAAACCAAACCAAGCCAAACCGCGTCCTATCTTCGACCTGAAGAGCTTGCTCGTCCTCAACCAATTAGAAACAAAGAAATTATAAATATTCATTACCGTTAGCCAATCAGAATAGACTTGAGAATTGTTCCATAGCGTGCAAAAATTAATTACTTGCTTCTTTTACTACTGTTTTGAATACAAAATTTGAATATATATCGAACTCTGATTTTCTTCATATGCTGTTTTTAAAAATAGAAGGTTTATCAAAGAAGCAACGATACGAAATCTGTAACTTCGAATAAAATTCTCTCTCAATGTCTCGCAGAAGAAATCTGCCATGTTGATCTGCTTTACACCCGTAGTTGGAATAAAGAGTAAAGGGAAACGTACAGAAAAAAAAAAAAAGAAAAAAAAAGACGTAAAAAGTAAGTCCCCTCCCCACCCGTGTGTTTTTTTCAAAATGATGCTTGTCTTGATCGAGCGTCCCTTGTTGCTACGCAACTAAGAAAGGACCTAAATAAACCCCCGCCATTTTGAAACTTCCCTGCAACTCTGCGTGAAAGGTTGAAGAGACTCTTTCGATTGTCGATAAAATATTAGGATGTGATGGCATCCTTACACTCAGAAAGATCAGAGCATTTTCCTAAAATTCCAAAGCAGAGGCTTGTAGAAGCAAAACCCGGTACACAACTCACCCATTTCGAAGACTCTGGTGTTGATGTGCGCGAGCTTTGGAGAGATCATGGCAATGAGAGACAGTTGTATAGAAATTCTCCACCGATGATCATAGGGCACAGGAAATCTGGCAGTCAGAATAGTTCTCGAACGAGTTCACCGGTTCCCAGACGAAATGAGGTATTTATGACATCTCCAGGAGTTAATAAGCACTGTCTACACAAGTGATTAGAAGAAACTGTCTGTAACTAATGATCATTCGAGTCATTTAGATCATTATTACCGAAAAAATTTTCATTAGAACTCTAACATTATTTTTAGATGTATGATAAGATTTTCCCTGTTCGAAGTTTTGAATTGGCTTTAGTGAAGTTGGAAGAAAAATGTTGGATAGAATTTCATTCGTTTTTACTAAGGTAGAGGCTACAGTACGTAACTTTTGCTAGCGGTGCATGAACTTAAAGAATGATTTAAATATTTCCAAGCATTATAGAGAGCAGCAGCTTTAGTATTAAACCTTTTAAAGTAAAGAGTCGTAAGAAAGAATCGGTGCACGTGCATGATTTACTATCGAAATTATCAATGAATTTTTTTTAGTCAAAATTACCAGTGCAATTTTTGTATTTTAATTAAGCTTTATATATCTGTCTTACAGATAACTATAGTTAAAGACTTATCTGGAAGCAAGTTTGAAATGGCTTGTACTTTTTATTTCATCAGTATCACATCTTTTTACAAACCTACAGTGTGGTACACATAGATGCAATTCACAGTATGTTCTAAAATTTCCCCTAAACTAATCAATTATTTAAACTTAATTGCAAGAACAGAGAAAGTTCTTTAGCAACCGGATACTGTAAACAGTGCTGGGAGATGGTGTTTGTAAAGGTTTTGGATGTTGTTTACTTTGGCAAAAAATTCAAGGACCCCTCCACAAATCAAGTTTTAATCATGAAGATTCACTTTGCATTGATAAGACTTTTTACAAAAATTTTTGCCCCAATATCTGTAGTTTTTTTAATGGTTGATGCAGTATGATAAAGGATATTAAATAAGTTATTTCTCATGGAAAGTTAAAGTAAATTCAATTAGCTTCTGTCAATCATCGACAATTCTATTTTGTTTTGCTATTGAAAGTAGGGTTCACTTGAATTTCTTTTTTTGTAGAATTACCTCCAAAGTAATCCAAGAATCACTATAATTTGGTTTTATCAACTGGGTTGATTAGTAATTAAATTGGCCACCATATAGAATTTGTAAAGTTGATGTTTTGACACTGATGCTCCAGGGCGAATTTATTTTTGCTCCTGTAGTGTATGCAACTGATCATATGAAATGTATCCCACTTGCTCCTCATATTTAATGCTGCAGTAAAGAAAGGTTAAGCCAAGTTCTTTTGGAGCATGACATAATACCAATACATCACTTTTTAATACGGCTTTCTTTTTTGTAATGGTTTTCATTTTTTGATGAATTCTTGACTCATATTTTTTTAACTAGCCTGAAGTCCCCAAGATAGATAACACTATTTTGGGATTTATATGAACTACAGGTTGAATCAGGAGCCCTTGCCTGCCGCAGTCCTTCCATTTCATTGGAACTTGGATCATCTTTGGATGAAAGTCAGCTTTTCAGAGATAAGATTTCAAGACTTCAGCAGGAAAGAGAACATCTAACTTCACAGGTATTGAAGTATGCCACTGCCGTTAACACATCCTTGTTTACGTTTTGTGCTTGTTGTCCCCCCAAAAAAACATCGGTAATAGAGGGTTTTTTAGCTCCTTAAAACCTATGTATGATCCAATTTAACTCTTTGCATTCCTAAAAGATACGTTCCCTAAATTTATAGCTGACCTTTACTTCTGAGGCGCTTTGTGCAGACTAATTACTTAGCTGGACTCAAACAGCTCTGTATTTTGGTTCTAGCCAGATTTTTGAGTTTTGTCTGCGCTTAAGATAGTTTACTCTCACATATGTGCTCTTCACCTAGGCTGAGATAAGCTTTGGCAAGTGTCAGGCCTATCAGTAGAAAGAAGTTGAATAAATTAGTCATTTATTTACAGATTGGAGTAACATTCATGATGGTATGTTTCTTCAAAACAGTTATCACACTATAGGCAAGCTGCAGAAACTGCACAAACAGACCTTGCTGCTGAAAAAGTGATATCATCTGGTTTACAGCAAGAGGTATGTCTTTTCGGCAAGTTCTACAAAAGTATGTAAGATTGGTTGGTCGATACATTTAGGGAAAATTTATATCTTATTTTTTTTATAAATATTTTAACAGCTTAGAGAATCTCAGCAAAAAAATTCAGAGAAGGATCAACAAATTATTGAGTTCAAGGTAAATGACAATATTAATTACTTGTTTGAATTTATTTGATGACTAATATTTATAGATTGATAACTAGCAGGCATGATGAAATTAATATTGTTTAAATTATATATATATATAATTATATATATAATTATATATATATTATATATAAATTATATATATATATTATATATAAATTATATAATTATATAAACATTATATAAACACACACACATGTATATATATATATATAATATAGATAAATGCCAGGAGAAAACAGTGGGATAAACTTCTAACTGGTTCGAATTTAGATTCAATTTCAATGATGATTGTTTGATACTTTTTGAACTCCCTTTTGCAGTGTGAAATTGAAAGTAACAAACAAAATGCTGCCAGGCAGACAGCACTGGTGCAGTCACTCCGTGACAGAATACGAGAAGCTGAAGATGAAGCAACAGAGAAGGAAAATTTTGCAAACCGTAGTGATGTCACCATATCATCTTTGAAAAAAGAAATACAAACTCAGCAAGATCGTCTACAGCAGGTAGAGTCATCACTCAAGCACCACATTGCTGCAGAGGAGGAAGCTTCCAGCAGAGCTGCCAAATGGGAGAGTAAGGTATGTGTTGAAGCTTTAGCATGGGTGCAAGACATTGTTGAATTAGCTCTTTCATTGGACCTGGGTTGGGCTGGATCTCATCAGAAGTAACTGGAGTACAAATGGATATCAATAAAATGTCAGGCAAAATCAAGAGATTAAATTTTTTTCAAGAAATGGGAAATATACTCTTCAAGGAAAGAGTTGCACACTTTGCTAAAAAATTCTTTGTCTACAGCTATATCTGTGGTCCAATGTATATGCAAACTAACTATGGCAATATGACCTGTAAACCAATCAAACCTTTGGAATTGTGATATATTATCACAGCTTGTCACAGGATCAGATCACTAAAATTTAGTTAAATAATTTGTTAATCTGCAGTATGGTGAGATGAAAACCCAGTTGACTCAAGCTTTGCAGCTGGATGCATCTGAAGCTTTGTCTGCGTCTCTGCACTCTCTTCTTGGAAGGGTGAGTTTGTTGTTAGTGGTTTGGTCATTTACGCTTTAATTCCTCTGAAAATTAGAAATGTTAAGTATAATGTGCATATTTTATTTAATACCTAGACACCAGACTTTTCTGGCTATAAGCTAGACCTCAGTCTTAAAATAAGAACTTGTGGAATAAAAATTAACATGCTTTTATTTTACAGTATATGTGTATTGTCAACATTGGTCTATTGCACAGTTTGTTCTAATTAAATTTTTGTCTTTAGATTTCAGAAATAGCCAGAGAGAGGAACAGCTTGCGGGAAAAAGCAAGTGCATTGTCTCGTAATTTACATGAAAGTAACTTGGAGTCTAAAGCAAGCAGGTTTGTTCCTTCTGGATTGAATTGTGACTTATTAGTTTGGTGCATTTGTAGCCAGAGACTACCATAAATCCTCTAATATCTCCCTGGGGGGGCTTATTCATTTCAGGTACTTTGAACTGAAATTACAGTACTTGAATAAATTTATCCTACTTACTGACATGGGGTCTTATTATGAATTTTTTGCTCTTTGAGCGGGAGGGGTGGGCCGGGGCTTAATAAATTTCTTCCTCCAAAAAGGGGAGGCTTATTAGAGGGGGGCTTATTAATTTAGCCCAATGTTCACCACCAGGATACACAAGAAGCTGGAAGTCAAGCAGCCAACAGTAAAGAACTCAAGTTATGATCTAATTCTTTGAACAGACCTTGTTTAGCCATGTTATATTTTTAGCATCGATCTGTAATTTCTGTATACCGTATTCTATTGATGCCAACATGATAATATCAATCAATCAATCACCATAATCAATTTTAAATGACAAACTGAAATTACAGTACTTGAATAAATTTATTGTACTTACTGACATGGGGTCTAATTATGAATTTTTTGCTCTTTGAGGGGGAGGGGTGGGGGGCTTAATAAATTTCTTCCTCCAAAAAGGGGAGGCTTGTTAGAGAGGGGGGGCTTATTAGGGTGGGGCTTATTAGGGAGGGGTGGCTTATTAGGGAGGGGGCTTATTAGGGAGGGGTGGCTTATTAGAGGGGGACTGGGGGGCTTATTAGGGAGAGGTGGTTTATTAGAGGGGGGCTTTTTAGGGAGGGGTGGCTTATTACAGGGGGGGCTTATTAGGGAGGGGTGGCTTATTAGAGGGGGGCTTGTTACGGAGGGGTGGCTTTTTAGCGGGGGGCTTATTAAGGGAGGGGTGGCTTATTAGAGGGGTGCTTAGTAGAGGATTTACGGTATATTACATTATTTTATTTGTGGGTCTTTGAAGCAGCAAGGCTTACAGTATTGTTTGGGTTATTACTGTCAGACGGTTTGAATTTTTAAGACTTTTCCAGCAATGCAATTTTACTGTTTCTGACCTTAGTACTAAAGCAATGACATGTGGCTGATGGGAGGTTGTCTATAAGGTCTACAATCTTTGCTACAAAAAGACCATAGACAAGAAGTTAGCTCAATTTTTATTGAATTGTTATGTTTATGGTATTTCAGGGAAACCATAATGAGATTGGTGTCAGAAGTAGGACAAGAGAAAAAGAGTTCTGGTCAAAGCCAACAGACCATTAATGGCTTAACCAGAGAAAGGGACACTTTGCAACAAAAGATCAGAGAAATGGAGATAGAAGTTGATCGAATGAAACATCAGCTAGCAGCAAGTCAAGATGCTTGGGGGGTCACCAAAAAACAACTTGATGAAAAGGAAAATAAGTAAGTCAACTTTAGATTAAATTCATGGCAACTGCCTGTTTGAAGCACGAATCCTTAGCGGCAAAGGACACTGGATTTCAGAAGAAGAAGGAGCACAGGGGGAGGGGCATATGGTAAATTAATGACTTTTCAAGATAAAGTGAGACTGATTTTTGTTTGCATGGAAACCCAAGATTTTCTTAGCCATCATAAATAACAAATGATTCTTAGAAGTCTTCCCCCAAAAATGAAACTTTAAAACCTGGAACATATGAGGCCATACTCATTTCACCCCTTGACTTCAGATGGTGTCTGTAGGGTCAGATAAGTGGTATATGTGGTTACAAGGCTTCTCTGATTTTTGAATATTAAATTAATAGCTAACAACTGACAGAGTACACATTGTTACTTTATTGCAGGCTGCAGGAAATGGAGCAAACGTTACAAACAAGTGCATACACCGGCCAGTCAGCTCAATCAAAGGTTTGTAGTTTGTAAAGAAGATTTTTTTTTCCTTTCAAGCTCAGTCCCAAAACAGGTTGATGCAACAAATAGGATGTACGTTTAGGAGAGGTACTGGGTAAAGTATATGCATGAGTATGAAGTGGACTCTTACTTGGTCAGCCTAAGCTTTTCGAATGTGTGTTAAAAACCGAAAGCGAAGATATCACTGAGACCAATCAAATTGGAGAAATGGCTTTTTTGGTTCTCTCTGCAGCTGCACAACTTCAAGCGGCATCTGGCGCAGTTGATTGGAGACTTAGATGATTCTATTGCTGCTGAAGAAGATGCCATCATTTCTTAAGTAAAGAATGTTGTGAGAGATTACAAGGATGTCAAATCGGTAGGTGCATTTGTTACAGCCGGTAACAATCTTGTTCATAAATACTAAAACAGGAGCATAGCCAGCCTATAGGCTCACAATTTTTTTTCTGCCCGTTTGACTTTTATAATATAACTCTTACAAATGTTGAAACAAATATCGACTTTTCTAAGTAAACAGTCTTACAGCATTTTAAGTCAAGAAAGCTGACCACCTCCCTATAAACCTTCGACAAATTTGATCGAAAGTGACGAGTGTCCCGAATTCCATATAGGTTCTTTGTTTGTATCTGCCTGTGCCGGAACTTTTTCCTCTACTTTGATTGGTTAATCTTACATTAGTACACCAACGAAGTCCTACAAACATGTAATGTTACAAACATGTGATGTTACAAACATGTGATGTTACAAACATGTGATGTTACAAACATGTGATGTTACAAACATGTGATGTTACAAACATGTGATGTAACAAAACTTTTAATTTAAGAGACTGCATTACAGGGTAGTAAATTGAATACGTTCCTTACAGTTATTGAATCTAATTGGCTCACTTTTTCGCTGTGTCCAGAGAGAGGAATCATTGAAGGTCCAGTTCAAAAACCTATCAGAGGAACTAGAAAGCCAAAGGAACCTTCACCGCACCACTCTAAAACGAGCCAACGAGGCAGAAACCCAACTGAAAGAGAACCAGCAACGTGTGACTGGACTTGAAGGAGAACTTCTTACGTCTGATGTAGAGAGAGATCAACTGAAAGACGCCAAGAGAAAGGTGAGACTGGAAGATTGGTACTTTGAAGGCTTTGTGTCTAGGAGGCGGTCAGCGTTGCATGTGCGTGATAACGGAACATAAGGGGTCATAACGCAATCAGCGTTTCGTTAACGGGAGAAATTTCCAAGATTCTGAGATATTAGAATGCTTTGAACCTTTCGCAAGTGCATTGTTGGTGGAATAGAGTCACAAAGTATTCAGCTGACGCTGAAAGCGTGAACCTTTTTCTTTGGCATTTTTTTCAGTGTTTTGTCTTTATGTGTTATTTTTTAGTTTGTAACCTTCTGTGAAAAACTGGCCCGTGTCATGAAACTGGATGAAATCGCTGATGATGTGGGTTTGGATGTAAACGGTGAGGCTTTGTTGGCGAGAGGAGAACAACTAGTCAAGTTGGAGGTTAGTGTCCTTTAAGCTTACTCCCTGAAAGTGCTAATAAATTTGTGGCGCAGAACAAACCTTTTGAAAATTCGTAGAAGCGTTATTTGTTTTAGTCTCGGCTTCTTTTGAAACTAAGTTGGAGAGCTAATCGAAAATGGCCAATAGTTATTAGCTTAAGGTCCTTTAAGAGACTAAATTCGGTTTGAATGTGAACTACATATATCTTATTAACCAAGCCCCGAGGGCCGTGATGGGAGAATATCGGCCCGAGGTCTTGACAGTAAGGACCGAGCACAGCGAGGTCCGTACAAAAAAGACCGAGGGCCGATATTCTTCCAGTACGGTCCCGAGCAAGCTTGGTTAATAAGAGATTTATTATACGACTGAAGTTCAAAGAGACCCAAGTGCGGTATCATTCGGGACCATTCGGGACAGTTCCCGGTCCAATACTGAGAGAATATTGACGGGCAATAGAGCATTTTGATTGTTTGATTTTAGTTATTGGGCCTCTGACTGCCCAAGTCGTGTAATAATTTTCTCTTTTACACAGGCGGATGCTTTGGATGATAGGAGGACAACAATTTATAATCTGCAAAGACGACTGAAATGGTCCAAACAACAGATGGAGAGCAAAGATCTGCATCTGGGGTTACTGAAAAAGAAAGTCTCCGAACTTGAAGAACTTTTGCGTGAGAAAGGTCGAGTCGAAGTCGAGAGAGACGAGAACTCGCTCAGATACAAGAAACTTGTCAAACACAACGATAAACTGCAGAGAGAATTGCTAGATTACAAACAACAGGTGACCAATCTAAAGGCAAAGTTACTGGAGGCTAGCGAACTCAGGGTAAGTAAAGTAAGATTATTAGTTCTCGTACTTGAGTCAGTGTACATGTAGGTTAGCTTGGTATAAGTAAGGCCGCGACAAAATATAACATAGCAAAATGTGAACAGCTCCTGGCTGTCAATGATATCCATTGAGCTGTTAGGTGAAGGTCTTGTATCTCAGTGCTTCACCAGTAACACGAGAATTCATGGTATTGTGATTCACATCTACCTTAAACTTTAATTAAACTAAAGAATTCAAGTTACAGCGGAACGATGAGCAACTCATAAATGCAACTAAAAGCCCCAAAAAGATCAAGGATTTGTAAGGATGGAGAACACGGATGCCAATGAAAAACTCGAAAAATTTCCACACTTTTCAATTCGCACAAACTGTTACTTTAGCCCCTTCAAAGAACTCTTTCTTCTCGGCCATGCAATGATCTGTATCTAATAACTTATTCTCCTTATGTAGGTGAGAACTTTGGAGCAAGGAAAAACAATCGAAGAACTAGAAAATGCAATAAACAAACTTGCTAAGAGTAAGCACAAGACTTCAGCTGAACTGCACGACTTGAAGAACGAAATGGAAATGACGGAGAACGAGCATCGTGAAAAAAAAGCGCGATCTTCCGAGACTGTACAGCAACTAAACAGTGAACTACAAACAACGAAACGGGCTTTGGAAGAGAGCAGAGTAAGAGAAAAGCAGGTAGATACACCCAATCTGGTTCATTTTTATTCTTAATTTTTGTTTAACTTTGTTCTCAATACAAGTTGCTAAGCGTTCAGTGATTCAAACTTCTCTTGTGAATTTTATTCTTCTCACAATAAAAAGGGCAAGATTTTTCGGATCAAGGTCAGTTCCTAAGCAACCGTGCACCTACCCACCCTTCCCCTGTGTGGCAACAATAGCAACAATGTTAGGGTTTATTTTGGGTTAGGAGAGGAGTAGGTGCGCAGGTAATCAGACACTGACACTGATCCATATTCAATTCTTAATACTCCAAACAGCTCAACGCTAACGGAGCCGAAAGAAAAACTTGAATTTGTAAATATTTTATCACATGTTTTTTCGTAAAATTTACGAGTTGTGATTTTTCAGTTTCCACCAATGTCAAAATTAACCTTCCTTCTTTTCATTCTATTGCAGTTGCTGGATTTCCGTCAAGTCTTAGCTCGCCTTCTTGGTCTCGACATCAACACGCTTTCGGTCCCAGACTACGAAATCATTTCACGGCTGGAACGTCTGGTCCAGGCCCATCACGCGCACTCGATCACCACACACAGTCTGGAGGCTAGTCTCCAGGACATGGAGAGTGGCTTCCGCACGGGTTACGATGATGCTGTTGCCATCCTAAGAACGCCATCGCCTGTAAAAGCCTCGTAACACAAGCTATGGACTACATGTTAGATATGTACATAATAATACAACGAAATACTATAAAATTTATAGGAAGGATCTAACTTTGGGATTTATATACTTAATATAGATTACACCCATGGGACAGTCGTCTCTTTTGCCCGGAACTCACTTTCAGAAACACAAGCTGTTGCTTTACATGACATTTTAATCACCAAAGTGGGTACCAACGTCAAGACTCAGCTTCTAGTGATTCTGCAGAGAAGCTAAGGAAAGAATCCTTCGAAATTCCCAGCTGTCGATCCTAAAGAAAATTTTGAATTTTGAGTTTTAAAAAATCAGTCACTCTTAATAATTTGTCAGATTATCCGAAACATTTCGAACGTAAAGAGTGGCTCTCTTTTCCTTTATCTTAGAAGAAAACCTTTTTTTACAAGCAGTGGAATTACACAGTCAGTCAATTGAAGATTTTGAGATTAAGCAGAATGAAGAGACTTTTCTGATATTTTAAATAGTTTCAAGCTTGCCACATATGTGAGTGAAATTTTGGTTTCTTCGTCTTTGGTTAGTGTCTAATTGCTGGTAGAACTCTTTCTTAACTCTGATAAAAGGTTTTTAATTGGCCGCAAAATATATTGCTGCCACCTCCCTCGGTGACTGCTACCAAGTGAACGAAGTTACATAATAAAGTAAAGGAGTAATAAGGAGCAAAACATTTTCAAATTAACAAATGGTAAACACCACAGCGTACACTATTGAGTTATGGATGCACGCGGGAGGTTGCTAAGCACGAAAGAAGCGTAAGAGTCGCGCGAGGCGATAGCCCAGAGCGACTCTAGCTTCTTGAGTGCTTAGCAAACCTCCCAAGTGCATCCATAACTCAATAGTGTACGCTGTGGTGTTTACCATTTGTTAATTTGAAAATGTTTTGCTCCT